TCTCTCTCTCTCTCTCTCTCTCTCTCTCTCTCTCTCTCTCTCTCTCTCTCTCTCTCTCTCTCTCGTAATCATGTTGCCTTCTCGCACGCGGTGGCAGAAGCGACGAAGAACGTTGTGAGTGTCGCCGCGATTTTTCCGCTAATCTATTTGCACGCAAGAGAGATAATTTCGCGAACGTGGAACCGTTGTCCCGTCGCCGTCGACTGCTTGTTTACCTTACGGCGAAATAAACGAATAAACGGCGCCGGCAGCGAGCGACAACGCGTAGTAATTAGTCGCGACTCAGGGTCAATGTTTTCAGCATACGCGATAACTCGCGATTGCGTTCAATGACGAATTTTAAAACCGTCTGCGAGGTCCTAACTTGTAACGGATTAGAGAGCCTATTACGGTTCTGTGTGAGAAGTGAAAATGCGAAAAGTAAGCGAATTCACTAGATGTTGACCAATGAAATTATACATACTCTAGTAAATTCGCTCACTTTTCGTATTTTCACTTCTCACACAGAATCGTAATAGGCCCCCAGATTCCTCCTTCTTCTCTTAATCATGCTGCGTGATAAGAAATTTGAAATAGCAAAGATAATAATGAATCTGTGATTTTGTCCAGTCTGGTAAAATCCCCTACCCGTGTGTCCTAAGTTCGGCACCTTTGGACACCCATGCGGAACACATATTTGGATACCCATGCCTCGTGATCGTTGGTACCTTTCAAGCTTTTTACCTTTCGATCGAAACACTTTGTCCTTTTCCTTTTCGAATGCCCGCTCGAATATAATGCTCAAACTGTCAAGCACGTCACAACAATCTGAGTCACGATAACGGTCGACTCGAGATGCGAAAGCATGGCGCTGAGTGCGCGAATGAAAATAATCTGTTTGTCGCGTCTGCACTTCCTTGCACTCCCCTGCACTCAGCATGCTAATCGTGGCATGTCGCAACGTGCGTTCACGTTCCAACGTGAAAAAAAAGCAGAGTGCGGAGAATGCTGCCGCAACGAGATTATAAGCAAATCGCCGATTCTGGTTAATGGGGCGAGCGTGACGATTCACGCGTGCACACGTACAAGCACTACGCAACACGCGGTAAATCCGCGCCGTCGTTCTTCCTTCTACTCTTTACTCACTGCATTCGCCACGTCTCGACGTTCTTTCCTCTCTGCTGAACTCGCTCTCGTTTACTCTTCGGCCTCGGTACTGTCCGAGCGGAAATCGCGCAATGCCATGTGCACTTCAGCTCGCGACGCGATCAATTCAGTAGGATAGGTCAGAGATGATGCAATCAAGCCAACGAGTCATCGCAGGTGCTACTATGAGCCGAGGAACAAATAATACTCGAGAAACGACGTGCACTACAAAATATCGACCGTTAGCGACAAATGTGGCTCCCTCTTGTCTTCATTTAGAAGTATACAACGCGCGCAAAACAAGATGTCACAACTCTAATCAAGTTTTTCGTTTCAAACTTTAGAAGAAAGTTTCATATTCGTACTTCTCTCTCTTTACCCCGTGTGGCACTCCAGGATTGCATTCCAAAACGTCTTTCCGAGGGAAATTTTACTCTTAAGCCTAGAGTGTATATAACATGAACTATAGATTTAAGAGTAAAATTTTCTTCGAAAAAGATATTTTGGAATGCAACCCAGATAGTTTAAATTTTTTAAAAACAACCTTAACGATATCTATGTGAGATATCTTTGAGACATCTTTTAGAAGTTTATAGTATCTGACGTTTCCTTCACACACATATTTGTTGATTCATAGTTCATTTCTTGCAAACATTGCAACAAAATGATAAATCTCGATAATGCAACACAGGAAGTGCTGCAAAAATAATTAAGTCATTGAATCATTCTTAACCACAAGTACATTGCTTGTGTGAGAGTGTTAAATATAAATACTTATAAATATTTGTTGTTCCTTCGATTGCGCGCCCAATGCTGAGGATATTCGTATATTTTGTAATAATTATATACATATACTTGTATGCATTGTCAAGACGTCAAGAATATCTTTCATAGAAGAGTACTCGAATTCACTGTTCCGATAATTTTCGACATGATACTTCTAAATGATAACAATGTGGATAAGTATTTGTTGAAATAACGAAAACAGTGAAAACGACGGTGCTGGAAAAATCGTATTATCAACGAATTGTGTCTCGATTCACTCGCTCTCGGAGCCGCTTTCGCCGCTCGCGCTACCGCTGCCGCTGCCACTACCGCTAATGGATCGCGATCTCGACTGTGAACGTGACTTCGACCTGGACTTGGAGCTCGATCGAGATCGCGGTGACTTGGCGGGAGATGCCGAGCGCGATCTCGACGCAGACTTGGATCTCGATCTGGACGAATTTCTAGACTGAGGACTACCAGATCTCGATCGTGATCTAGACGGCGAATGCGACACCGAGCGCGAGCGAGACCGTGACCTGGATGGTGAACGCGAGCGAGACTTTGATCTTGACGCCGATTTGGAGCGAGATCGTGATTTTGATCGCGATTTTCTGCTGGACGCTCGTGAGGACGCTCTCGACGATGCACGAGATTCCACTTCATTTTCTCCTTCAGAACCTACGGGAAACGTTAGCATTAGCCGCGTTGATTTCTCTTAGAGATATACTGCGCGGTAACGAACGTATCAAACCTTTGCCGTCAGCTTTCTCCACCTCCTGCTGAGTTTCTTGCTCCTCCTCTTCCTCCTCTTCATCCTCGTCGTCCTCTCCTGGCGGCTCTAACTGTTTCTCTCGGTATCTTTGCATTCTGAATTCGATAGCGTTCAGCGGCCGATGACGCACTATCAAGCGCGTGTTATTTGGCTGCTGTCCGACTTTTTGACGGCGTTTACTCAATCGTACGCGCGTCTCCAGCTCATTGTAGTAAACCTGCGATACGAGACAATCGATACAATAGATAATGAAATTAATAACGTACAACATAACAAACGTATATACCCCGTCTTGTCTAATCACGAGGAAATAATTCTCTTCGTATCCCTTGGAGGCTTTGCTCTTGACGTTCCAATTGTATTCCCTGGCCATTTTGTATTCGTACTCCTCTTCATCAGCATAATCAATACCTGCGGTGAAATCTCGTCGGCGCTTGTCTAAAGTTTCTTCTAGCGGCAAAAAGTACGCTACGAACTGCTCGCCGCTTTCGTCCATCACACCTCTGCAAAAATCATGTTAATAAAGTATGTTAGTTATTAACTGCATGTTAATAAAGTATTTGCAATCAATTGCAATGAGATCTCGAAGCTCTTTTTTTGAAAATTAAAATTACTCTTGCATTCAGAGCTTACCGTATCATAGCTTGAGACATTTCTTCAATCTGCGCAGGTACAGAGCGACCAGTTGGTGCAGGATCAGAGTCAAATATAACTTGAGCACATGGATATTTCCACAACTGGAATTTTACACAACAGATTAACAACAGATATAGAAGTAACAATATAACTAGTACTAATGTTTGCATTAAAACATTGTTGCAAAAGTACCTTGAAATCTGGATATACTGGCAGTATTTCTACTGGCACTACATTTGGTTTACTGTAGTGCCTTTCAATTGATTTCTTATTGTCCTCAAAAGTCTTTTCTATAGCCTTTATTTGACTCTCACGGTCCATATACAATGTTTCCTCCTGATTGGAAATAAACAAATGTGTTAATTAATATTGTGTTAATTAATATGCAAACATGATAAACATCATGTTTAATACAATAGGAGTATCATACCTTGAAGTTCTTCTTTATACTGTAACCAACTTTAGCTTCAACCTTGTCTACACTCTGTGGCTGGAATCTAGTTGTTTCTGTAGAGATATACTCAGTACGTCTAAGCCAAGACACACTTCTGGCATGATGTCTGGATCTTTTAGAATCTTGAGGTGTAAGAACATCTTCTTCAAGTAGCTTTTCATCAGCTGGATCCAACTGTGCATTAGGATCTCCTGCATATGTATCCTTGTTTATCAGATCAATTTCAACACCCAAATCATGCTCTGTTAATACTTCATATTTATAATTGCGCTCTAATGATGTCGGATTATAACGGATAAACCTGCATTATGGAATCATGAATTACTAAAAAATTACTAAAATACATATGTTAGAGACTCACATGCCACTACTTACCTAGATGGTTCGAAGGGATATGTTATAAATTTTGGATCGAACGGAATGTCCGGCAATGTATTGCAGTATTTCACCCGGCATATCAATTCGGATCTAAGGCAAACACCGACTTGACATAGCAATGTTTCATCTTTATATATATATATGGTTATATATGAGATGTTTTTACTTACCTCTTCTCTGCTGGCCTGGCTGGACGTTTATCTCTATCAGCCTGGTTAGTGTTGGTTTGAATAGTAGGTGCCATATTATGTTGTTTTACATGCGTAAATTATAAATGTTACAATTCTCGCACGGCATGTAATAATGCTAGTAAATCGAAAACTAAACAAGTATACATGTAACATATGACCGTTGATTTAGCCATAGAAAGATGGATACAGTCGCGGACGAAAAGATTGTTCGCCATTTTTAGGATGAATTTGTGAACTCATTCGTTGGTTAGTTGTTACTACATGATCGTGAAACTAGTTCATTGATCACCCAAATAAATATTACAGTAATCTGCAAATTGTTAGCTTGCATCAAATCAGTATTTCAGCTTTCTCCAAAAAAAAATTATATCCTTCTATTAATCCTCCGAAAGGAAAGAGACAGATCCTCGAACGCACTTTCGTTGCTACCAGGGAGAAACCTGAGAGTGGCCACGCCATACGTTTTGGCCGACAGCGATTTTCACGCTATTCGATGCGCCATCTGTACCCATTTTTGAGGTGAAACTACATTCCCTACGCCCATTTTCAGACGCTACCAGTAAAGTGTCGATTTGTTGCGTGTCCATTCTATGCCCATTTTCTGGTGATTTGTGTCCGTATTAAGCGCATAATTGCATGGTTAAGAACATGGACAGTCCATGTTTTCAATCACGCAATTATGCGCTTAACACGAACACGAATCGCTAGAAAATGGGCATAGAATGGACACGCAACAAATCGACACTTTACCGGCAGCGTTTGAAAATGGGCGTAGTTCCACCTAAAAAATGGGTGCAGATGGCGCATCGAACAGCGTGAAAATCGGTGTCGGCCAAAACGTATGACGTGGCCGCTCTCAGGTTTCTCTCTGTTGCTACTAAAAACTATGTCAGCTAGATTAATGGCTCCTGCACACAGGACGCGGTAATGCTCGCCGCGTGGCAAGTCCGCGCGACAGCCAATCAATATGTTGTTTTTCCGTAAGAGCTAGAAGGTTATTACGGAAAGCAGCATGTTGCTGTCGCGCGAACTTCCGCCGCGCGGCAAGCATTACCGCGTCCTGTGTGCAGTAGCTATAAGTCCGATTCCCGTTGATTACGCGGGCAATTCAAAATTACATGTTCCGTTGTCTCTGACAAACCGCATTCACAAAACGGTAAATCACAAATATTTTTATCATATAAATGTTGCGCTACCTGTGTGTGATGAGTCCGTAAACGTGATATTATAGTTAAAGTTTCTCTATTAAGATGAGCATGTGGTAAAAACCAAGGCTCCATATATTTTTTAATTCGTGTTCTGTGGAAATACCTGAAACCTTTTTGCTCTGAGATATCTCTGAAAAATTGTGCAACATTTTCATCCATGCAATCTCTAAGTATTCTACAAATAGTATTCGAGAATAAAACTGTTTTATGATCTTCTGTTAAGTTTATTCTGTTATGTAGGACAAAACATGATGAAACGCTAAAAGACGTTTCAGCCGAAATGCATGTATTGCATAAACGAACATTGCGAAATACGGCAAGTAAATCAAAAGTGCACGCGCTGCAGAAACATCACGTTACACTTTTGAACTGTTAGGTAATTAGGTCGGTAACCTAATTCCCTAATTTCATGAATAATATATAAAGAGTTGGACCACCTACTCGAGAGGGAGTGTAGAGAGAATTACTGACCAGTTTAGAGGCGCACGTTACATGTCTCAAGTGAGAGACAGCTGACTCGGGAGTAATACGAGTGTTTCGCATCATAATAACATTAACCTACTCGTTAAAGGATAAGTTAAAACGTATCTATGTGAAGTGTAATAAGAACGTGAACAGAAACTGTAAGAAGACAAGTTCAATAATATTTTTATTATAAAAATATTTTTATTATAAAAACTCCTCAAGATTATAAGATTCCCTTACTATCCTAACCGTTTGCACGTCTGCACCGGAATCCCAATTACCGGTTGTGCTTATCTTAATTGAGGGCACAACAATTCCACGAGTGGCATTTTTTGCCAATTCATCAGTCTGTTTATTACCTTTAACTCCCGAATATCCCGGAATCCAGACAAACACAATTATAAAACCTTGTTCGATCAGGTTTATATATATATACAGGGTGTCCCGAACCTCCATGATGACCCTTGGTGAGAACGTAGAACGGATTGAGGTGAGTAAAAAAGTCCTGTGTTGTTTTGCGATATTCATAAGAATAGTCGAGATATTAATTAAAAAAGATTGGTGAATGATTACGCGCGATATAGTAGATGAGCTGCAGTGGGGCCGTCTGCCGTTGTATATTTATATATTAAGTCAAACTGAACAAAAAATCCTCTACCATTTTGCAAATGACCACATAGATTTTTAAGTATTAAAGAAAATTGTTACATATATAATTGTATACCATAATGCATAAATTTTCTTTAATTAATATCTAAAAATCTATATGGTAATTTACAAAATGGTAAAGGACTTTTTTGTTCAGTTTGATTTATTGTATAAGTATATAACGGTAGACGATGTCACTGCAGCTCACCTACCATATTGCGCGTGATCATTCACCAATCTTTTTTAATTAATATCTCGACTATTCTTATGAATATCGCAAAACAACACAGGACTTTTTTACTCACCTCAATCCGTTCTACGTTCTCACCAAGGGTCATCATGGAGG